CATCCCAGTATTTTAGCATGCTGATTAGTGGAGAGCAGTGTTACAATTTCATAAATAAATGAGGGATTAGAACAATGTTTCAAAGTCTGTAACCATAGTTGCCTGAAAAGAAAATTACATCAGTCATTTTCTTATCTGTAATTTACCATTTCAACAGTTCATAAATGAAGAGGATTATTTAAAATAATTTTAAGTCAAAAGAAAAAACTCAAAAGTACTCTAAAGCAAAACTACAAAAATCCTCCAAGAACAAGAAAATCATCTGTCTGTGGAAAAGTACGATAAAATTTATTTTATTTTAGGAGCCACCTCTCCCAAAAGACTTTTACTAATTCCCATTCCTTTCTCCCTCTTCACTATCCTCCCACTCCCATTCCCAGAGAAATGGTATACATATCTAGAATCTTCGTGACAATAAAATAGCTAAAAGTAAATTCTTGAAGCCTTGGTGTACTCTAGAATTTAAGACCACATTACATTTTGTTCAAAACCATTAAATAACTTGGAATTTATTTTACATTTACTGTTTTTTAGAAAGTGACTTTGTAAGACTTTTCATGACCATTTTTGGCTCTTAGCAAATTTGAGAGAAACGACAGAGATTTTCTACATGCTCCTTGACTTCACATATATGTAAGCTTCACCATTATCAACAACTGGCACAAAAGTGGTACATGTAAAGCCTTCCAGTATTGTGCGTAGACACATATCAATACATTTTTTACATTGTCTTTCTTTTTTTAAGGGACACCTAACCATTATCTAGGTTAGGGATATGGACTGACAGTTTTGCCAATAGTGTGGACCTTTCTCAGAATAATGTTTTAAGTGGATAAAATAAAGTTCATATTATTTCATACGGAAATCAATTTTAAAGGAATTTAACAAAATGTTATTTAAAAACATTGTAATATAACCATTTATGTGTTTCCTGTATTAATTCATTAAATTATAAATTGAATCCATAAATTACCATGATTTTGTATGTGAAGAAAGAAAATGTTTGCTATCTGTAAAATTTATGGTGTGGTGTGAAATTATCTCTTATTTTTATTGGTGAACAGGTAGTTCTGATTCCATTTTTTAAAAACCAATTTCAGATAGAGTTAATGAACATATAAATGTAATGCTCTTTTTCTTTTCCATTTCCCTCTTCTTTTTCCTCCCACTCCCACTACTGGAGAAAGAATATACATATCTAGGATCTTCGTGACAATAAAATAGCTAAAAGTAAATCTAGAAGTTTATATAACATCTCAATTCTCTTTAGGGACCCCATTTGGTATGGTTTGAATATAAATCCTAAATTTCATGTTATTAGAAATATAATATGCAGTGCAACAGTGTCTTCAGGAAGGAACTTTAAGGGGTCATGAGGGCTCTATTCTCATAACTGGATTAATGTGGTATGGAGAAAGTGTATTTATTATAAAAGTGAGTTCAATTCTCTCTCAACCATGTATGATGAACCTAGACTTCTTAGGCAATAAAGCCATGAGGTAAATAAATTTCTGTTCATTATAAATTACCCAATCTTTGGCATTCTGCTATATATACCAGCATGATCACAAAGAGATACCATGTGTTATCATTTAGATACGAAGTGTCATCCTAAATCTCATGAATATTCAGAGGTGAAATAAATAGGTTATGAGAGCTATAACCTAATCAGTGGATTAATCCACTGATATCAATTAACTAGGTATTAACTCTAGACCATTAGGGTATGACTAGAAGTTCATTTCATGGCCATGAAATGAACTACTGAAAGTGGGAGACAAAATAAATTTTCTTCCTCTAATTTGTTCTTGACAGATCACAGTCTTTTGGTCACAATCACACAAAGCTGAATAAAACTCCATGGGAATCTGTGGATCCCTGAATAAAAACACATAAGGCATTCAGAGAGTACATATTATTCTTTATCTCAACATATCTATGCTAATTTTAGTTAGAATCTAAGAAATAATTTTGTGAAAACTTCAATTATTTTGTTTAGCATTTTGAATGTTATTTTCCAGATTTTCTGAGATACTTAAAGATCAGTTTTCTAAACATTTGTTTTAGTATATTTATCTCTTTTAGGTAAATCTTATTTCATGTTAACTTACTGTTTCAAATAGGTTCAACCTTACAAAATATATTTGTCAGAGAAGCTGTGGAAGTCTACTGAAAATAGAGAAAAAGGGACCTGCAAGTCTCAGTTTTTGCAGAAAGAAAATAAAATATGGAGTTAAAGATGGGTGTGCAAGAAATGTCCATGAGTCTCTCTATTTGTGAAGATTCTGGATTTTTGCCCTGGATTAGTAGTATATAATTACCCTTGTATTGAGGATGCCTATGTTCAAAATCCAATTGATTTTAGTATGACTTTATTTTATGATAAAAATAGTGCTTTTAATGCTCAATGTATTTTTTAAGTATTTAGTTTTTAAAACAATTTAATTTATTTATTTATATGTGGTGCTCAGAATTGAACCCAGTCTCTCACACATACAAGGCAAGTGCTCCACTGCTGAGCCAGAGCCCCAACCCATACAGAGCCCCAACCCTTAATGCTCAATATTGAAATATCAGTTGGTCTTTACCATGGTGTGAGAAACACTTTTCGGTTGTGAGGATGAAACAGATAAGAGTTTTTCTCATTTCTTTTATTCTACACTTACTCTTCATCTCTAATTTAATTAATTTTTGTATAATGAATCCTAAGTAACATATTTTTAGAATACCAGGAGGCTTTACTTGCTTAAAATAATTATAGAGCAATTAGTTTATCTGACCAAATGGAAGTGAACTCGAATAAAAAATGACTTATGCAAAACAAGGAATGTGCTTCTTGTGTAAGAAGAACCTATGTGGATTGGATCAAATCCATCCAAAGACTTATATATTGTCACCAAAAGCTGGTATATTATCATCAACTTTTTCTTTTTCTTCTTCTTTTTCTATTTCCTCATTTGCTTTTGATTCCTCTCTCTTTTTTTTTTTTGCTCAGTCTTATCATGCTATATGGCTCACAGAATTTGTCTTGTAGTACTATGACTGCAAAATGTCCAAGGTTTCATAATACCAAAACGTTTTAAATTATAATAAGATTGTATGTTCCAAAAAAACCTCTCTATGATATTCAATAGATTAAGAGATAAGTATAGTATGTCTTCATTCATAAGCTTGCTTCCTTGTAAAGGAAGCAGGCAGGGTGGGTGTATACCTTGATGGGCTTCCCCCAAAATGTAAGAATCATTAAAAGAAAGATGTGAAGTAAGTGTTGTTTGAGGAGATGAAAAAATATATACTGGTACTAAAACAGACATATACACTACAGACTATATATGATCTCTCCCTCACTTTAAATTATGTGAGCATATATTTCTTCTGTTCTTGAATGTCCCTATTGATTTAGTGGCAGCATGGAACCCATTTTAGTACATTTATGTAATATTTTGCTGGATTCTATCTTTAGACATTTTGAATCTCAAAATTCCTTGGAAATTTTCATACAACAGATGCAATGCCATATAATTTTGGTTCACAGTTCTTAAAGTAAGAGAATCAGATATCAATCATTCCTATTTACATTGTTAGCTTAATAAGAAGTATAAATGTCTCAAACATGTTTCCTTCTGTGGAAGAAAAATTGCAGGGAATTTTAATTAAAGAACATAAAATCTTACAATTTAGTTGACTTTTTCTTTTCTTCTTAAACATAATGCCTCAGCTCTGTTCACTGCAGTTTCTCTTTTGATATGATGGCATTGTCTATGGAAAGTATTAGAAGCTCAACAATATCCTAAAGTACAATCATTGAAGATAGCAGAGAATTCCATTGTTAGAAGCAAAAAGGGAAATCGGAGATTATTTCAACAACTTATTTTTAATTATTAGCAGGTCCTGAAACCTCTACTATATGTTCCCTATTCATTCTGATTTTGTCCCAGCCTCTCAAACTAGTGAGATCAGTATCTTATATGCACAGAAATAATATTTTTAAGTATAATTTCATTCTAACACTGAAACAACTCTTCTCAAAATTGAAATGTAACAATAAATACAAAACTTTTCCAAAGGCATGCAAAGATTTCCATAACAAATTCAAGAAATCCCATCAGCAATCAGAAAATTTAAATTTATTTAAAAATTTTAAAAAACATAGGTACACAAGTCACTGACTGTATCCAATTACATTTGGCTATAGATTCACCTCCTAGTTCCTGACAACTAATGGGAGAAAAAAAAATTGAAACATTTTTATTTAACTAAAAAGAAGCTTGAATTGTTTGTAGTTAAAAATATAAATAATTGAAATTTAACTCTACAAATTTTTACTGATGGATAAATATATAAGTAATATCAAACTAAGCAAAAAGCCTCTTTCAATCTTTCTTATCAAGATATTATATTTATTATTAATTTTTTAGTTAAATATAATTATAATATTTTCCTTGGATAATTTATTTAATTTACTTCCATTTCAGAAACACTATGAAAAGAAGAATATTGTTAAAATCCAGAAAATGCATCTCTTCAGGGAATTGGAAGTATGTAATTAAAAAGTGATCTAAATTAATTTATTAGAGAAGTTTAGATAGTTCTGGTAGTACAGGTATCCAATGTGTCTCTGGAAAAGACTCTCATTACTGTGTGTTATTTAAAGATCCTTGTGCAGGCTGTTTTGCTGTAGCCATTGACTTGAGGCTTAGCTTCCAAAGTGTTAGTATTTTTTGCTGTCATAAAAGAGGACACAATACAATTATATTTTATAGTTTTTATATTCTTGTCTAGAATCTCACAAGATATATAACACATATTTAATAAGATTTATAATAAAAATAGTAAGAGGAAAACTAACATCTGTAACAAGATACAAAGTAGCCCTCAAAGTTACCAATAAGTAAAGCAATTTAATCTATAGCATAATTTTGGAGCACCTTATATGCAGACACAAATATTTACCTAATTTTTTTCAAGTTAAAAGATATATATTTTTTAAAAAAAGATAAAAAAATGCTTCTTAAATTTATTGAGAGGGTGAGGTCAATTGGAAGCCAGGATATATAGAAATCTGGACAATGCAGCATGAACATTCCTCTCAGTACCAAGATCAGGGTAGAGCTTTGTGCAGAGTGGATTTAAACATGTAGACATGAGATATGATTTAACTATATGATTATCTATGATTTGAAAGATAAAAAAGGTAATTTATTTAACAATATTCCAAATGCTGTGTCCTTCTAAAACAAAATGCCATTAATTAGCCTATAAGAATTAAGCCTTATTCCTCAGATTAAGAAAAAAAATCAATGAGAAGTCCATTAATTTTATGAAATAACATTAAAGAGATGAATCAAGAATTAAACATCCCTTATTCTGATCTGAGAGGGAGAAGAAGTGTGGAAGATAAACATCCTGGGGCATATTACCAAACTGGGCTCTGAACTTGCAGGTGGGTACCTTGACATGGAATGTTTTTATAATGTACTGAAGCCCAAATCAACATCCTTATTTCCAAACTTCAGGTAAGCAACTACATTGAGATCCCAGTGATAAAACTTCAGCCTTGCTGTCTTTCCATTTTCAGGTTTACTCACCTTTGATTACACATTATGGATATCTGGGATAAGATATTTCTATTATCTTATTTCTGTTAGCTTTCATAGGAACTAATAAATGAAAGAAGAAAAATTCTGATTAGAGATATACAATAGTAATATATATTGGACTATTGATTAATGCTTTTAATGATTTTTAAGTATCTCCATGGGATAGGAAACATGATTTTCAGGCTAATTGAGAAGGGTAATCTATACAAATCATGTATGCGAGTATCCATGAGTGTATTGTTATGTGAGTATGTGTGTAGTAGCGAAATGGGAGAATTGAAACGAGTACTAAAAGTAGTAGAATGTTAACAGCATTGGTATCAGGTGAAATTAGATTTTTTGTCTTGAGTATCTTTCCAAATTTTCAAGCTTTCCTATCATGAACCATGAGTTCATATTATTTTCATGAAATGGTGTAGAAAGAAGTTAAAAATTAAAGAGAAAAGACAAAAGAAATAAATGTTCTTGCTTTCATGTTTCCCAGACTCACCTGTGCTGTTCTGGATCAGAGTGTTTTAAATGTAGTCCAATCTATTTATAACTTTAGTAAGTAGAATCTCTTCCTTAGAATACCAAGTCCTTGTTCTATCCTAATATTAATTAGTTGCATATAGGAGAAAAATGTGACCCAAATTTTTAGAAAAATAAGGATAGGGGAGGAAATCGATTCCACAATTACCTTGGTAAGGAATTTAGAAGTTTTTGATGCCACCCCTGATATAAAAATAGGATACAGTCTAGTCATGAGCAACTTGACAAAGACTACTTCCAGGGACAGATTCTAACTGTGAAGGATGAAGTTTTGGAAACTTGCTTATCATAGAAAACTTGTTTCTCTGAAAACATGCATTGGAGCAAGATCCTGAGAAACATGAACAACCCACAATTTTTGTTTTGATAAAACTTACATGTGTAATTTTTAAAAAATTGGAAATTAACTTACTATGATATTGAGTCATAAAATTCTTTGAAGAAATAAAATGATACTGAACAAATGAGTAGTACAATAATGCTAGTTTGGTTATATTACATCATGTAAAATGTTAATTCAGTAGTGGTAACTTCGTGATTCTTTTTTTTTCTTTGACTTTTGAGAGCCTTTTGGTACATAACTGTTCACAGTACTCCCTTATAATTCTTTTAGTTTTTGTAACATCATCAGTAATGTCCCCCATTGTGCTTCTGATTTTTAGTAATTTGAACCTTCTTTCTCTTTTTCTTGATCACTCTGAATTTTCCATTGCACTGATCTTTATAAAGAACCAACTCAGTATTGTTAATTTTTCTCTGTTGTATTTTCTCTGTTGTCTATTTCATGAACTCCACACTAATCTATATTATTTCCTTCTCTCTGCTTGATTTGGGTTTATTTGACTCTTCTTTTTCAAGTGTCATAATGTGGAAGTTTATGTTATTGACTTGAGATTTTTTTTTTTTTTCTAATGTGGGGATTTACAGCTTCACATTTCCCTCTGAGCACTGTTTTAATTGCATCCCATTAGTTTGGGTATGTTTGCCTTCGTTTTCATTGACATCAAAGTATTTTCTCATTTCCTTTGTGATTTCTTCTTTGAACCTTAGACTAATTAGGAATTTATTACTTAATTTCCATGTATTTATAAATTTTCCCAATTTTTTTCCTGTTATTTCTACTTTCGTTTCTGTGTGAAGAAGAAATGTATTTTGTTTGATAAAAACAACATTTTTTATTTTATTGGGGACTTTTTGATGGCCTCATATATAAACTATCCTGGGAAATATTCCAAATGTACTTGAAAAGTATCTGTAATCTGTGTTTCCGTGGAGTGTTTTGTAGGTCTGTTTGATTTCCTGTTAGTTTCTTAGGGCTGCCATAACAAAATACCACAAATTGATTGGCTTAAAACTCAGAAATTTATTCTGAAGTTCAGAAGTCCATAAGAAGTATTAGCAGGCAATGCTGTCTTGAAGTTTTTGGGGAGAAGCAGTTTTGTGTCTTTCTCTCAGCTTCCCACGGTGCTGGCAATCCTTCCTTTTTCTTGTTTTGCACCTCTGTAAATTCCACCTATTCTTCCATTGCAGCATGCAGTTTTCTTTTTGTATATGAGTACCAATTTCCCTCTTCCTACAAGACAGTAATCACATGAGATTAGGACTGGCTTCAACCTCATTTTAACTTGATTATGTCTGCAAAGACACTTTCTATGTGTACTTACACCCACAAATACTGGGATTAGATAGTAAACATTTTTATGGGGACAAAAATTCAGCTAATAGCAGTTATTATTATATTTTACTTGTTTACAGGAAACAGTCCTTTGACTTTTGGATCAAAGTGAGTTCTATAGTCTTTGAGGACATTTTCAAACTCAGTGAACTCAGTCAAAATTAAGGAATCCAAATCAACCTTCAACTTTCACAAATTATATCCCTGTGAACTTGTTGTTTAACTTCATACATTTCGTGAAATACAGTTTAGTCTAAGTTCAGTAAATGCCATTCTGTAATAACTGAGAGTATCATCACTTTTTTAAAATTTTCTTTACTGTGTGTGTGTGTGTGTGTGTGTGTGTGTGTTGAGGACTGAAACCATGAATGCTCTACCACTGAGCTGCATCTCCAGTCCTTTTAATTTTTTAATTTTTTTTTGTTTATTTCGAGAGTGTCTTGCTAAATTGCTCATTCTGTCCTCAAACTTGTAATGCTCCCGTGAGCCTCCAGAGTCACTGGTATTACAGGTATGCACACCACAACCAACATACCACAATTTAATTTAGGTGATATACTGACAAAAATTATTGAAATACAACTTGGCTTCATGCTTCACTTCGTTATTTTGAAGCTAAAAACCTAATGCCAACAAATTACCAATTGATACTTCTTTGTGAAAAAAAATTGAGATGATTCTATCAATCTGTGATCAAAAACTACCAATCCTAGATACTATAATATCTTTTTATAATATGTTTTATTTTGCTTTAGTCTAGTTTTCTGTAACTTCTCATACTAGACCTCCCGACTTTAAATGATTAAGAAACCATTTTTCTTGAATGAAAATGTTAATAGACTTATAAATGCTAAAAAATCTATGCTGAAAGTGATTATTTCTGTTATAAAACATAATAATAATTTGTTTTAATAGTATTATTAAAACTAATATTGCTGCTTTAGAAATGTTTAAGATCTATGAATGATATTTATCTTACAGACATTCTTAATTTATTATTACTTATAGTTTTAGAATAAATTTTTGTCATCTAATTTTTATTTTGCCAGTGAAAACTTTTTATATACATTGTGAATATTGATGTGAAACCTAACTATATGAAAAATAATTGGAAGGATAATTAATTTTTACTATATATAATTTTATACCTTTAGCCATTATAACTAAGAAATTATTTTGTGTATTTGTATATATATAAGCTGTATTTGTACACAAGATAATATACAATTTATATTTTGTATAAAATAGGAAGATAATACTTCTTGTTATTATATGTGTGTATGTCTGTTTTAAATATTGTTTCTTTGAAAAAATATATAAATGAAAATGATCATAATATCAACAATTTTGTACTTCTACCTGCTAAAGCAAGATTTTTCTAATTGATAGTCTATACATAAATATTAAGCATTATGTTTTCCTTATGAAAAAATAATTAGTAATATTAACAACATAGGAAACTATGTTTATTTGTAATTGAATTTATTTAATGAAAATATGATTTTTGTGTTTCTACATATCTCCATAAATACAAAAAATAAGAACTAGAGATTAATGTGTTACTAATTTTTAAGAAATAAATAAAACTTTGGTTTTTTAGCTTTTATACTTATTTAGTAGTACTTTGTATCTGAATTCCTTATCTCACTAATATCATGTTTTTTAACAGTTCTTTTATTTTATACCAATTATTATATACTTCTAGCTTAGGTAAATTAAATTTAAAAGTCTCTCAAAGGAATATTTTTTACCTTTCTATTTTTATATTACATAATCCAATACACTGTTGTATTTATAAATTTAAATAGTTTTATATGTAACTGGGATGTTGTATAGGAATATATTGCACACACTATATATATATATACATTCATAAAATTTTATACAATATACAGTGAACACTTAAATAATTTAGATGACATTACTTAAGCATTCCATCAGAAAAAAAATTAGGAGTAGTATTTTAAAAATATTTAGTACACTTTATTGCTTCCACACATTTTTCTGTTTATTAACTCAAATCAATATAGATAATTGAATTTACATGTTACTAATAAGGTCATTTCATCTAATTATTTAGTCTGTTAGCAGTCATGACTTCTTTCATGAAGTGCAACACATGTTGTATACTATTAAATAAGTTAAATTGAGCGACATTGACCATATTGATGTTGTTAAACCATACTATTGACAC